GCAAACGAGCGAAACGGCGCTACTTCACGCCGGGAATTGGCATTTTCCCTCGCGGGTTTTCGATAGAGCCAATATTTACCCTCGGTCTTAATGTCAGTGCCGGCCGTTGCCAAAACCAACATTCGGATCGATTTGGCCGTAAGCGGCTTCTCACCGCATCGACTCGAGAATCGAGCCGGATACACGGATATGCCGTGCGACATGGCTGCGTGTAGATAACGCTAAATTACACATTCGTAATTAGCGCGTCACAGGAGGCGGCGCTTCCATTCGCGGGATTAGATCCATCGAGCGCTATAGCTCGCGCGCTGCTTGGAGCAATGGGATTCTATGCAACTATTCTGCCTGCGCTTTATTATTTAAAAGTGTTCTTCGAATGGAGCGCGAAACACGCGACATTCAGAGTACGCGTACCTAATCATGTAATTTACTTTACAAGGTCCCAACTCGAATTCGACTGAATGCTGCGCATCTTGCGATGTCATCCAAGCGGGAAGCATAAATGTGTCACAAAATCATAATTTTGTCGTTTATCCTTTATCCGACATGTCGTGCATACGAATCAAACGTGTCTCCAAGACGTATCGTGATGGACCGATCGCGTGGATGGACCAGATGATACTTGTGCGAAACCCCCTCGCTGTCCTATTTGCGGGAGAAAAGAGATGTTAATACTACGCGTTGATACTATGCTGAATTATCCAACGAAACGAAATGTTTTGATTATGCTGGGCCACGAATGCATGCATATGTGCACTCGCGCACTCGCACAGACGCGTATACTACATATGTGTTAACGTACGCAAGCACAAACGCGATTTGAGCTTACACGGTTCAAGAGAGCCCTCAAAATTTAACTTGCAATCTTTTCTTTTCTTCCTTTTTTTTACGTATTTTTTTTTACCTAGTTAAATCTTTTTTTTTACAACTAAAATAAGAAAATTAATTATTCAACTGTTACGTTAAAAAAGATGTGACAAATACGTGCAATTTCTTTTTATCTTTCTTCCCACGACATTGAAAAAATTTACCCTTTTATAAGTGGCTCTCAATGGGCTTACTTATACAAATGCATAACGCGCATGTAATTTGCACGTCGCAAATTACTCTTTCGCTCACGGCGGAAAAGTTATACGCAGAAACATTGATAATCCCAAAAGTCTCGTCAAAACTGTACTTTCACTCATTCGTCGATATATATGTTCGAGAATTAAATTTCTCACATCTACAGGTTCGCGTGAGACAAAACAAAAATATAAATTATTATTTCATGCATTTACGAAAGTTTAGTCCTTCGCTTTGATACGATGTACTGTCACAAAAAGGCGATAAAGTATTAGTATTAACGATCGACAAGCTCTTATCTAAGATTCTTTTCTCGGAATTTTCGTTAAAATTTCTCCAACTTTAGTTAAAAGTTATCTATTTCTATAGCTCGTATCGTATAATTAATGTAACGTAGTTGAGTCTATGCTCGTGAAATCTGAAAGGCGCGCTACGAAAGCGTGCTTACAATTCGAAGCCGTCCTTACTTTATAATGTCCAAGTTTAAGTTTACGATACGTGCTTTGCAAGCTGCATCGTCACATAGAGTGCAATGCGCGTCTTAAAACGCGGAAGAAAGAATGATTTATCAGACAGTATGACACACACTTGACTCTAACACGTAATATCGCGCGAGCCTATACAATTCTCGACTACCAAAGAGCCAGTCAGTAGATGCCAAGTTTTCTGTCAAACGCATCGAAGGGTTAAAGCTCTGTTCCTCGTTCTCCTTCTTTCACGAGCATTGACTTCGCGTCAGGGTGGGATTCACAGCAGTGGACCCACAGTTAAATCGTTACCATCATAATGCGGTACCTGCTCGTTTCTCATCAAGTTATTCAACGTGAATATAGGGTTACTCGTCTTGCCTCGTCAACCTGTACTTTCGGCGTGTGATTACAAGAAATTTATGATAATGCGCGCAACAAATATCATCGTGAACTACAGAGCATACGCATATATGCAGAGGTTGCTTCGGATTACCCGTTGTTGACGAACGTAATTGCTTAAAGCAGCTGTGCTCAATTTCGAACGAAAAAAAAATGCGTAAATTTTTACATAACAGAATACATAACAGAATTCCGTTAAGAGATTATATAAAGAAATTGCATGACAAATTTTAATCGTGTGCAAAAGTATCAAGTATTATTATTTCTCTAAGCTCTGCTGCTTAATTGCGGGAAAACATTCGGTTTGGCGCACTCTGCACACGATACGATCAACGCGAATGCTACAAAGTAATTTAGAGAGGCTTGATGAGCTGCTCCACGAGTGACTCGATATAACGCAGGCTCTATGCATGCTCTAGCCTTCGTGCGTATCGACCGTGGCGCAAATTCCGCCGAAAAGACGCGGAGGTATGGTCGAACATATCATATCCCGCCGAATCGAAATATTTCAGAAATCTAGAAATATTTTGACTAACAAACCATAATACCAAATACCGCTACGAGACGAAGCAAATCGCTGCAAAACTGTTTACTCGTCAAGTAAAATATGTGATCTAATGCAACTCGAATTTTACTTGCGACTCGAGGTAAAAAATCGTACTTTTTGAACATCCTCCTTTATGATTTTTTTAATGTATTCTCTGTCCAACAATGATTTACAGTTATATTACACATTGACCTTTTCTCTTCTCAGATTTTCTGTGTACATAATAAACAGAAACACATGTTTTATATTATGCGCAAAAATAGTTAAAGCAACGAGAGCATTTAAAAGATAATGTGATGGAAAATATTTCAAAATCTACTTCAGAAGCAAATTATCTGGGATAGCTGTCTCTCTCTCTCTCTCTCTCTCTCTCTCTCTCTCTCTCTCTCTCTGTATATTTTGAGCAAAATTTATAAATTATGGACATTCAAAATGTAACAATTTACTCTAATAAAAAAAAGTAGTCAAAGTAGTGTGAAATTGTTGCGAAAGTGTAATGCTTTTCGTAGAAAAGTTGATGTAAGCAAGTAAAATTAAGCTCTCTACATCGAAATGTGATTAAACATTTCAATTTGGAAACAACTTTGTTTGAAAAAAATCTCTTCCTACCAATTACTCTGCTACATACAAGAAACTAAAAATACCTATTATTTTATGAAAAAGGTATTGACATTAAAAGGGCTAATGCAATAAAGAGTGGTTGGGATGGCTGCCTTGCAAAAGAAGCACAAACAAGTAGCGTGCTTTGATAAAAGAGATACGGCAGTATCGATATACGCTGCTCTGAAATGCGACTCGAATGCGAAAACCTTAGACGTCCGCTCGTGGTTTTACGCGAACTCTACAGATCGGATGTAAACTACAAAAGTGCGTCTACCAGCATACAACCGCATGTTACAGAATCATTAACGATTCGTTATTTGTGCTGGATCTTCTCGCACCCACCGTAAAACGCGTGCAAAAATGCGGAGGAACTATAAAGGTTGAAAGTTGAAGTGAGTACCACATTCGCGAAACAATCAGCAAAATATTGCACGTATAGCTGATGCAAATACCGAATGGATTAAATTTCATATAAAACGCGACATTATTAAAAAATATCTCGGAAAAGAGTATTTTTATATTTTACCTGATAACGTGCCCACACACATCTTTGACCGTGGATCATACTAATATATGTTAATTCGCATTACATTTGTATTAATAATGCAAATTTAATAAGCATACGTATTATGCGTAAAGAAATAACATCGAAATTTTTGGCCAGCGGTTTACCTCCTCCTCTTAGAAGAGACAGCGAGATCGCACCGCACCGTACCGTACATAGAAGGGAGAGAGGAAGATCTAGTAACTTTTAGGAATAACAGCACGTTGGACCGCAACCACCTGCCGCCGCTCGTGCTACGATCGAGAGTGGAAAAGCGACGGGGTAAGAAAGAGAAAGAGGAGAAGAAAAGAGAAGAGAAAAAAGTGCGGCAAAGGGTGGGGGAGACATGAAGAGCGGCAGTTAAAGGAAGAGACGGCGGAAACGTGCGGATAGGGACGGTGAGGCGAAAAGAGAACGCACGGAGGGTGGAGAGTAGAGAAGGACGAAGGTAAAAAGCGGCGCGACGACATGATATCGATTTGGTAACAGATCCGCATGTACACGTACGATACTAACGCTTGTCGCTTCTCGACGGCGCGAGGTCAGCGTCGCGCGAAAAGGCGGTAGAGAGTAACAGGCACCCTGACGCTTTATATATAGAGGCTGAGCCACGAGCAGACGGCCCGTGGCGCTTAAATATAGACGAAATGCAACGGGGTGTCTCCCGCGCGCGCGCGCGCGCGCGCATGAGAGCGCATGTGACAGAGAAAGAGGTAGAAAAAAGAGAAAAATGCGTAGGCAAAGAGAGAGAAAGAACGGAGAAAGACACGCGTACGTGCATGCAATTTACGCGAGAACGAAGCAAAACGGATACGAACGAAGCGAAAAAGTAGAAAGGTGAAAAGAGAAACGAACGAAAGAGAACTACGGTGGGTACAAAGAGGGGGTTGGCAGGGGAGAAAGGCAAAGAAGAGACCCTGCATACACAGAGAACAGTTATGGCGGATCGCGCAGCGTCGTCTGCTACGAAGTAATCGCGAGGGTTCGCGAGTAAATCGCCAGTCAGCGCTTCTACGCGCGATTTACAATTCGCGACTCGAGCGTGCGGAAATGTGCGGAGACGAGCGATCAATCCGGCGCGAGAAAAAAGATCCAAAGCCACTAGATGCGCGAGATGCCGGCACGAGCGGATGCCGCAGAGCAACCTTTCTTTCTCTTCGCCTCCCTCCCTCCCCCTCTCTCTCTCTCTCTCTCTCTCTCCCCCTTCATGATTGCGAATCAAATTAATATCGGAGCAAGGAACTGACACTAGTCGGAGCACATAGCGGTGGAACAAAAACGGAGCACCGCGAACGATCGCGGCGGAAACACTCGCGCATCTCGGCCGCTTATTTTGCGCACGGTGCGAGCAATGACAAAATTTCATACTTACTTGCCGAGTTCCTCCTTCAAGTCGTAGTTGTCACTGAACCGCGTGCAAGCCGCTGGCACGGCCATACCGAGGCTATTCACGATTATTTAACCGCACCACTCGGGAACGCGAGCGCGAGAGCCACTGCCGGCCGCCACTGTACTGCACACACGCGCTAGGGGAAACTTCGCAGGTCAAATTCGATCAATAGAGGGGAACCGCCGCGGCGCTGCTCGAACACCGGGACGGCAGCGGCGGCGGCGACGACGACGACACGAGACGAGATGGAGGGGCGAACGAGCCGGACCGGGCGAAGCGGGACGGGGGAGAGACAACTCTGTCCGCGACAGCCGTGCGCGTTACCGTAGCAGACCGAGAGGGCCAACGCCAACGACAGCGAGAACGATGCGCGGGGAGAAATTTCGCGCGCGCGCGCTCTCTCTCTCTCTCTCTCTCTCTCTCTCTTTCTCTCTATATATATTTTCTCTCACGGTTCGCGATGCCAAGCGATTACTTCGCCTCGTCGCGAGATACTACAACGACGCGTCCGCACTGCTCGCCGGCAGACCGTCGACTGACTCGCGTAGTGACAGCAACGAGATGGCGGGGGCGAACGAGCTACCGGCAATGGCGGCCGACGGACCTACTGTGGCTACGGCGCGCTCGTTCGCGAAGAAGATTCCGCGCGCAGTCAATCCGAGAGGAATAGTCGGAACGAGTCGCACAAGTCGAAAGGATGGACGGAAACCGAGTCTGGGTCGCAAGTCTATTTCCGACTGTTCACTTCACACACCGCTGTGAACAGAAACGTCCCTTGCGTTACAAACGCAAGCATGTTTGTACATTCAAATATATTGAATGTACACCCTTATAATGAGCATTGCACGTCAATATGTGTGTTTTTATCAACTGGCTTAGCGATTTGAAAGTAAGGAGAACGAACGATTGCGATATATATTGAAATAAATTTGTCCCTTTCAAACCTTTCCCTCTTCGTGACATTCGATAATTATTGCATATAATCATTCGTTAACACGTCTGTAATTGTATATAAATGTAATATTTATTCTTGTTCCGCGCGCAAAGAAATTACTCTCGTATGTTTGAATTTCACTTGAAAATTGTTCTCGCGCAATAATCGTAAAGCGTTTGACCGGAGAAGCAAATTCAACTTTAGCCTGATTGCGAAGCATTATCGATGTCTATTGATTAAAAATTATTTAATTATTACCGAAATCCGTGTTGCTCTTCGTCACGAAATCATGTCGAGAGCGACGTCAGGCGATGAAAACGACGAAATTTACGACTATTCGCTCGTGGCAGAGATTGTTCGTCGTCGCGTTGACGATAAAGAAATCGCTCGCTATTCGCACGGACCAAGTTCTTCTGGATCCCCGTGAGCGGAGTTACGGCGCCGCTCGATACACGACGGGTGCACACCTCCGCCGCGCGCGCATCCGCGTGCCGGGCATAAACGCGAGATTTACTACTGTGACGCGCGTCGGCCAACGTCGGCGACTGGCATCACTTGGACACACCATCTTGGCGCAATTCCAAAACGACTGCAGAGGGCTGTCGCCCACGTTTTCCTCTCGATCAAACTCTCTTTTCGTGAATTTCGGTAATACATATCATATTTTTGAGAATTATTTTTTAACATCACAAATACGTTGCTCTTTCTAAAGGATACTTGCGCAAACGTTCAATATTTCTTGTTTATTTGAAAGCTAAGAGGAAAAAATGTATATCGTTAAACACGAGCTGAAACGTTGATTGCATGTATTTTTTGATTAATCTTATAAATCTAATCTTACGTAATTAATTACATTTGACGTGATAAATTTATCAAAAGAACGTATATGTAATTCTAGTAAACTATTATTGTATATTTGCGTATGATGCAATAACTATTACCTTGTGAGTGAATAAGTGAGAGAGAGAGAGAGAGAGAGAGAGAGAGAGAGAGAGAGAGAGAAATAAAGAAAGAGAGAGAAAAGGAACAAGTCGGCAGTCCTTGTGTCATATATAGTCGCATCGAATGTATAATTTTTTCGTACAAAGATCGCTGTTGTTGTTTTGATATTTACTACGCGCGTGCATATACATACTTCATACACTATACTTCATATACATACGTACACTTAGTTAATTAATGCTTAATTCTCCAAGTGTTATGTAGATCCATTGTCGTTGTTGTCTTTGAAATACACATTTTCTATCGTAGTGTTAACCTTTGTATAGGTAGTAATTGGATCTTTGTGAAAACTATATTTTATAACTTTTTTCGCGTCACACTGAATCAACCTGATGATTAGGTTTGCCGAAAGATACTACGAATATGTAATGATTAATAATACATTGGCAAAAGACCATTGTTTCGGACAAATAATATAAAAAGGACACATTCATATGTCAAGATTTACCCAAATATCGGTCAAAAGTTTAATTAGCACGTTCGCTACCAGCGTCACATATGTGCGACTTGTCTTGTCATGATAGATTAAAATCACACGTACGTGATACAAATTAAAAAATATTTTGACATTTCTCTTTATATATAATAATAATGATGACAAAGAAAGCATACATATTATAAATATAGTTTGGGGTGGAAGAATTTGCGAAATGTAGCATAGCGAACGTATTAGCTCAATCATGAAGATAAGTGAGTCACATCTTACCCCTTGAATTAAACGCATTTATTCGCCTGTGATTGCACTTAGACTATACGCGAATTAAAATACACACATTAAATGCGATAGAATCATACGTGTTTGGGAATTTTTCTGTACAATATCACTGACGAAAAGGGACGTATGTATCGAGCGTTATACTATGTGATGCAGAGAGTAAATAAATCGATTGCCGCTTCCGAAAATTTCACAGAATGTGCGACAATGCGCGACGAATGTTTTGCTATTGTAGTACAAGAATCACGAGAGAGTTTAATCTTTCGCGCTTAACGATTCACTTATTCATCGTCATAAAACATAAAGTAAGCAACGATTTAAAAGATCGAAATGGTATAAGCAGCATAGTATATTCCGATAATAACAATTTCTTGTCTTTTCGCTCTCATCTACTATTCTCGACGAGGCTCCACGATTCCACAGAAACACCGGCGGTCTCGTGAAACGAGAAAAGTCGACAAAGAACAATTCGTTCGATCTCTATTCGACCGTCACCGACTTGGCCAGATTTCTCGGACAGTCGACGTTGCAACCACGCAAAACCGCAATATGGAAGGACAGCAGTTGCATGGGAATAACGGTGAGAATTCCTTGTAGACAATCTACCGTCTTGGGTACTTCGAGTGCCCTGTCGGCGAATGATTTCGTTTCCTCGTCTCCCTCCTCACAAATAACGATCGGTTTGCCATCTCGCGCGGTAACTTGCTGTAGCGCGTTCATGCATTTCTACAAAATAAAGAAATGATGAAACAATGACGCGAGTCATATTCGCGATTACATTTATTAGTATTTGCTTTTCGGATGAGAGTCGACTCAATCGACCATTAAAAGTGCTTGAAATGTGACAGGAAACTCACCACGTATACCGGGTCTCTCATCACGATCATAATTACCGGCATGGAGTCGTCGACGAGAGCTAAAGGACCGTGCTTTAATTCACCAGCCATAATACCTTCGCTGTGCATATACGTCAACTCTTTTACTTTCTGCAAATAGCCAACAATTATTCATAGCGAAGCAACTTTCGTATGATCGAAAGGAAACACGCATCTTATCCCACACTTACGAGCGCTCCTTCCATACAGGTAGCGAAATTGTATCCACGACCCATTATCAACAGAGACTTGTGTTGAAACAATGACTTGGCCAATTCCTTGACTTTGTCATCGAGCTTCAATACCTCGCGAATAAGATTGTCCAAATTCTTCAAACCTTCGATAATCTGCGAGCAGTATGATATAAGATTCGTTTCATTTAAACGAAATGAACGATAAGAGAACAGTAAAACAAAGAGAACAGTATGTACCTGTTGACGTCTCGAACCAAGGGAGATTCTGTCTTCGCTCATCACCAGAGCGAACATTACAAGAGAGATGAATTGCGAGGTGTAAGCCTTGGTGCTGGCTACACCGATTTCGGGACCGGCGTTAATGTGCACGCCACAGTGGGACTCGCGGCAAATGCTGCTACCGACGGTGTTGGTGATACCCACGATTAGAGCACCACGACTTTTGCAATAACGCAGTGCCATTAACGTATCGGCCGTCTCACCTATCGTTGGAACAGAATAAAATTTATTTACAATCGAATCTCTCTCTCTCCTCTATCTATCTCGTTAAAATATATGATTTTCTCGAAATTTTCCTCAAGTTCATTCATTTTCTCCGTCGTTCGTTCTCTATTGGTTTCAGCAGCTTCACCTGATTGCGAAATAAAGAAGCAAACGTCGTCCCTAAAGACTGGCGTGTTACGGTCGAGAAAGTCGGATGCGAGCTCGACCATCACCGGCAACTCTGTCAGTTCCTCGAGGAGCTGTCGCGTGGCTATGGCAGAATGGTAGCTCGTGCCGCAACCAATCAACATAAGGCGCCGGCATCTCTTGATCTCCGGGATGTAATCCTAAAGAAAGAGCACTCGCAGAGTCATTCGCTAGAGATATGTGGGACAAGTCAATGTAACAAATCGCTCGCGGACATTACCTTAATTCCGCCCAGAGTGACTGAATTGTCCTGAAAATTGAGTCTTCCTCTCATAGTATTCACCACCGACTCTGGTTGCTCAAAGATCTCTTTCTGCATAAAGTATTCGTAATTGCCCTTCATAATTTGCTGAATCTCCATCTTGAGCGTTGTGATTTCGCGCGCATGAGGATCGTCCATGCAACGACGTAGGCGATGGATACTCAGAGCGCCTTCCTTGACGGCCGCTACATCGTCGTCCTGCCGACAAGACGACACTTCAATTTCCTGTGATCTCGTTACTAAGCTACTGAGAATTTTTATCAATATGTCATCTCATATACGGTCACTCGTACCTCTAGAAATATCACACGATTCGTGTGTTCGATTACAGCGCTCGCATCGGAAGCGAAGAAATATTCCACCTCTTTGTCTTCCAGAGGTTGAAATTCGGATGTGCTCTCGCTGCGTGGCATCACTGGAAGTTCGGGATTTCTACCGTGCGGACGATGGTCTGTGCAAAAACAAATAATTCATCTATCGTCGATACCTATTCTGTAATACGATGCAGAGTGTTTGAACAAGTTCCGTTTTGAGAAACATATATTTTACGATATGTGATCTTCATACTATCGAATCCATAAGTAAAAAGAGAAAAACCAGTATCGATGACACCAACAATATATTATATTTATGTATATATACACGTATTACTTGTATTTATGTACACGACTCTTAGTTACTATATTATTGCAAGTGGTGCTTCCTAATATTGCAATGTTAGTGTAATCAAGGATCAAAGTGGGTAGCTGGAAAAATTCGAGACAGAAACTATTAATTTATATTTCTTCGATTAAATTAGATTAAATTGTCAACTTGCTGTTTATTCGTCTTTCAAGCCCCCACACCGAGATGACGCGATATAATGATGTATAAAGATGTAAATGATGTAAAATGTGAGTATAGCGATGTGTGTGTGTGTGTGTGTGTGTGTGTGTGTGCGCGCGCGCGCGTGAGAGAGAGAGAGAGAGAGAGCGAGAGAGAGAGAGAGCGAGAGAGAGAGAGAGCGAGAGAGAGAGAGAGCGAGAGAGAGAGAGAGCGAGAGAGAGAGAGAGCGAGAGAGAGAGAGAGCGAGAGAGAGAGAGAGCGAGAGAGAGAGAGAGCGAGAGAGAGAGAGAGCGAGAGAGAGAGAGAGCGAGAGAGAGAGAGAGCGAGAGAGAGAGAGAGCGAGAGAGAGAGAGAGCGAGAGAGAGAGAGAGCGAGAGAGAGAGAGAGCGAGAGAGAGAGAGAGCGAGAGAGAGAGAGAGCGAGAGAGAGAGAGAGCGAGAGAGAGAGAGAGCGAGAGAGAGAGAGAGCGAGAGAGAGAGAGAGCGAGAGAGAGAGAGAGCGAGAGAGAGAGAGAGCGAGAGAGAGAGAGAGCGAGAGAGAGAGAGAGCGAGAGAGAGAGAGAGAGAGAGAGAGAGAGAGAGAGAGAGAGAGAGTTAAGATGCCTTTACATAGGAGCGTCGAGCGTCAAGTGCTGAGCACATGCATAGTGCATAGCACATATATAGTGAGTTGTTGCTGAAACGTAAGATTAATTTGATTGCATACTGAACTGTCAGTTGAATTTCGAGATATTTATTAGCAATTCAGAAAAAGTTGCAAGATATTACAAAATGTCTATTAATTATCGGCATCATTTGTGATTATTAAAATGCAGTAACCCCAAGCATTATCAGTAACCCCAAGTAGCACAGCAGCGTCTGCAAAGCGCTCAGAAAACACTTTTGCAGGTCTTACTGCTATAAAAGCGCTATATAAGAGCTTTGTAAGTGCTTTGTGCTACATGGGACGAATATTACAAACAAAACGTGGAGTTAATTGCATTAATATCACTAATTGCAAATGCAATATGAACAAAACAAAAAAAAAGCTTTTGGATGTTACAAATATTCGCAGAAAGAAAGAAACACGGATTCTATTATGCAACATTGCCCTAATAGCGTCAAGACGCTGAAATCTGAACGGTTTAGATTTATGCGCAAAGGTGTTACGCACGGGTTTGACGCTCGACGCTCGAACGCTTGCATATAATGGTACCTTTATAAAATTCAAATGATATGTCTCACAGGTTCGGGACGTGAGAGGTGCCCAAATGTTAATATACGCGAATTCGCGTATATTAACACATTCTACAAGACAATGAAAAGTACGATACCACCGCAATGACGACAATTAATACAAATAATGACAATACACGATCGATAACAACAGCAACAACAACAGTAAAAGCGCACTGTCGGCAATATGATTAATCAATCGAGTATGCAATCTCACTAAACGGGACAGACAATAGTCATTCGTAGCAGTAAATACAAACTACTTTCCGAGAATGATACGCAGAAGAAATCAAATTTCGGTTAACTGTTATAAGCGGACGGGTAGTTTATAGATTATATCTCTGATAGGAAAAGATAACGGTGTACATATTGAAAGTAAGACGATTGTCCATCAACCGTCCACTTACCCCGTCAAAGTCCGCAACAAGTCCAATCCAAGCGTTTTTGGTTAAAAAGAAATGGATAATTACATTTATTTATTCGCATAGCAACAGGCTAGTCGCAAACCATTCACTGCGATAACTAGTCGAACAAGCGGAAGAGCGTAAAACTTGACGTAAAGTATTACCTTGAGACGGTGCTTCGCCTTCTGCACAGATTGGGACGCGGAGAGGGAGAAAAACGAGAAAGAAAATAAACACAATTAGCGCACAAATAATGCCACAAAGACACAGCGTGACAATTAATATCGCACGCAAATTCAACGAAATAAACGCTGCGACAAGACGGAGCGAGCGAGCATCAAGCGGTTAGCGTTAACTTGGACAATGATGCGATCAGTTCGTAGAAAGGTACTCCTTTCGTTGGTCTTTAATTCAACAATAATTGAGTTAGAGATCTATTTTCACGTAACTTTCACTTTCTTCTGTGTTATGCATCTTTCTTTTCAAACTGTAACATAAAGCACCGGGAGAAAAACACGCTTATATGTCACGTAAGAGTCGCGAGTGTTTGAGCTCTTTAAGCGAATATATTTAGAGCATTTCGTTTCACCGCATTTATTTTCCGCGTTCTAATATCCGTGCCAGGGATTACCGGTTGATCCCTCGGATCTTTTCTTTTTGCGTCAACGATTAGATAGGGTGTATCATGTTTGTTGCATGATACACGATAATCCTGCAATTTCTAACGCGTCGCAATTATTAACTCTTACGGTAATCCTACATCGTATCCGTGCGCGTTCAATTCAAAATTCTTTTAAAACAATACGACATACATATCTTTCGCTTTTGTCCTGCGCGCTATAGTAGATCGTCAAGCTGTAAAGGGAGAAAGCAATCGTCGCGAATCTTGTCTTGTCTCGTAAGTTTGTGTCATTCGCGATCCGTTTTCAAAAGTTGACATGACAGAAAACAGAAATATGCCAATTAGCGTACCAGTGAGAGAGCTCATGTTATTGAAGCGAGAAAAAGAGACAAACATTGAATAACTGCTTGAAAACGATAAGAGACTAAAGACACGTCCTCGTGCGCGACTGTCAAGATTTGAAATGTTAGCAATAAATCTCTTCGTAGAAGACAATCGGCAACATATCGATTTAGGCATTCCTCAACCACTGGATCTTGCGTTAGAATCGGATCGGATAGCGCATGCTTGACAGCAATTGTTCGTATGGCAAACGACACGCACGTCGACAAAGAGCTTCTCGGCTTACATACCACGTATAGACATATCGTGCTACAATGTTGTTTTCGTTTATCACCCTCTAATTGCTTAGTGAAAGATCCAGTGCTGAAGAGGAAGTCAAGATAAGTTTATAGTAGTGTATATACCTTTGTTCGCGCGTTGAAGGTCGTCTGATGGCGCGAAAAGTAGTAGAACATAACCGGAAGGTGTTCATGCAAAAGAAACACTTGTATAGTATCCACAGTAACACTCGTTTAGAAGAACTTATGTGCAGCGAAACTCTAAATAAACAGGCGACAAGTATTTCGATTATAACGATCATGCGTCTATATAGATTCTTTTAGCGTTAACGATAAGGAGCAGAAAAATTTTATTTTTCACAAGCAAAATAAGGGTTGCAATACGTTCTAATAATATTATCAAAATACTCGCAAAGAGAGAGAGAGAGAGAGAGAGAGAGAGAGAGAGAGAGAGAGAGAGAGAGAAGGGAGGGGAAAAGAAAGAGAGAAAAAGAAGACACTAATCTCGTACAAAGATTGAAAACTTTCACCTATATAGACGCATACGTGACACTGCGTGAATGTAATCGTAAATATGCCACGAATATACGTCTAATGAACGTTATCTCGACGATTATCATCGACAGATTAACCTTGATGTAATATTTTTGTTTGCCGTTGCACCGCGGCACAGCGACAAAAGTGGACAATAAGTTGATCGTCAAGTGCAAAGTGACAATAACAATATAAACAGTAAAGATCAGCCAGATTATTTAAATAAGAAGCGCATGCTGCATTAGTCATCGGTTATTAGTCGCGCATTCTTTCCGAACGTATAGGAAATCGTGAGACGCATGATCGACACAGCAGACAGACCGACTAGTTAGAAAAAAAGATCCCGAAGCAGTATCGTCTTCGCGCGTCTTGGTCGATTCACAATTGTGGCATAAAGAGAGGGACATGTAGTCGACCGCTCTTTGTTTTACGGGACGTTGAAGCGCTCGATATAGTATATGTATCGATACATCGAGAGTGTTGATTCGGCCAGATCGGGCCTTCGGTCGTTGGTAGTGCTGCTCGCCTATGGCGTGCCATGGCGTGGCGTAGGTCAAAACGCGGATCGAAATGTCCAAACTTACCTTTCCCGTACAAAATAGGTACGTGATCCGTCGCCAGTCTCGTTTTCGTCTTGATACCGACAAGAAGCGGCGAACCTCGCCTCGTGGCCACACATTCGCCCGGGAAATACTTGCTCTTGAAGCAAAGAGCGAAAGCTCCCTCCTAAAATGATTTCCCATATTGTTACTTGGCTGCGTTGTTATGTAGACTCTTTTTTGGGGACATTTGAGATAATTATTTCGAGAATTATTTATAGCCTCGTTCCGCCGCTTCGAAATGATCACACGCGTCTCGACAAGATTTTCCTCGCTTCGATCTCTTCACAAATCTAGGTAATGACTTGAAATCCTTTGCGAATGAATTACTTTTGTACTGGATGTATCAGCCGTAACGTAGCTACCGTGAAAACAATTTACGATGTAAAATCTTTCCTTCGGAATACGCACCAATTGCTGGACGACCTGCTCGACGAGCTCGCGGAATGAATACGCGGGATGTTGTACCCAGAGATGGTGGATCAGTTTCGCGATCACCTCCGTATCGGTATCGCTTTCAAACACATATCCTCTCTGTTGCAGCAAAGTCTTCACCTCCTTGTAATTTGTCACGATACCTGCGTCGCCACACAAAGGCGATTGAATAAGAATCGAGAGGAACGCATCGGGTAGATTCGCGAAGATTACCATTGTGTACGACCAAGAAGGCATGCTCGCTGTCGGAACGCTGAGGATGTGCATTCACCGCCGACGGCACACCGTGGGTCGCCCATCGCGTGTGAGCGATTCCGACGTGACACTGAGTCTTTGACTCGAAGTCAATATTGGTACCTACGGGCAAACATCGCAGACTTTACATTTACTTTACTATCCCGAGAAGAGAGCTCACTACTCGTTGACTCAACACACGCGATTGTTTCCTTTTGCACGATAGAAGCGATCGTCGTTGGCGCAAGGAAACGCGCTGGGGATCTCGCGATCTGAAACTTACGGCAAAATATTTCCTCCTCGAGAGCCTTGACCTTTCCCTGCTTCTTAATAATCGAGATGTCCTTGCCATCCGCGCTGTCGAGGGCGACGCCTGCAAAAAGGACGCCGTGTGTAGGAATTTCCACGACCAACGCATATATCGCATCGTTTCTTTTATTTCGCCGTGTTTATTTCGCAGCAAAATCAAAAAGGCTGTCTGTCTTCCTTAGGTAGACCCAACACCCGGTTCGAGACGAGAAGCGCGAATCATTTCTCAAATATAATCATCTTTATACAATTATTGCGAATCTTCTCTTGTCACGTTTCCTTCCGTCCAGTCTTTCTTTTCTACCGCGCGCGCGCCAGCGAGAGAGAGAAAGAGATGAAATGAGGGATTAAAGATGTTGTCCTACCTGCGGAATCATATCCACGGTACTCCAGTCTTTTCAGACCACCAACTAGCAGCTCCAAGATTTCCTTCCTGCTCTTCGGTGTCAAATAGTTCAGATAAGCAAAGATACCTGGAAAAATTCAAAAACACATTATAATGGTCAGCGCGCCCAACTATTACTCGGATCTTCGCGCGAACTAAATACCAAACTAAATATCATAAACCAAAAACCATAAATATAATTAATTCTCATCAATAACGCGAAATATTAACCCCTATATTCCTCATCGACGCTAAATCAATTATTGGCCATTGGTGAGTAATTCTCATAAATTGCTTCGCATATCTGTCCTCTTTCCTCGAGTATATTTATATAATACAAGTTGAAGCTCTACACAAATGTAATTAGATGTCATTAAACATCGTAGTCATACAATGGAGACATACCGTGTCACAAAGTCTACAGTTTCTCGCTACAGCTAAACTGCTGTTGTCAACCCGTTATGTTTTACTCGTAGTATGCATTGTGTGTCGCATAATGTTACTTTTTGCCCCACCTTTTGCCGCTCTTGCAGAGTTGACTCACTTCGACCTACATTATACATACATTTACCAAACCGCTCCGCAGTTTTTATCCCTCTCAATAAAATCTCTCGTAAAACTTGAAATAATCTCGATTACTCACTACATGGTCTTATCCTATCCTTTGCATCTTCTTTTTCTGTACATTTTCATTTTATCGTATACTTGCGAAATTATTTCCATGCATTTTTATTTCTTTCTTCGCATTTTCTTGCGTCTTATCTGCCCTTTTTTACGAAATCCATTCCTGGGTAGGACAAATGAGTTCCTATCTCTTTCAAGCTGCGCATTCAAGCGGTCTAAAGAGAGAGAGGAGCGCGATAAAACCGAAGACCTTGACGCTACCAGGCGACATCTCTCAATTTCGCCGACTTCTACCCACGCCGCCTCTCGATCCCGAAGGTCACCCCCGCGAGAGAACGCGGAAAGCTGAGGAATCCGATTTATCCGGGAACGGCAAAAGGTCACGGAGATATCGTACTTTTCGTTTTATCAACCTGCTACGTCCAGGGGAACAAGACCAAAGACACAGTCTTTCGCGATGAAGATACGCAAACCAGCGATACGAAAATCAGCGATATAAAGCAGTCTCCAACATGACCCGACTCTCTCTTCTCAACGTGAAAGAATGTTGGGAGGTGAAACGTCCAAATTGCACAGTCTCGTTGTGCACGGCGACTTGAAGATGCAAAGAGGTTTGCGCGAGATTTGCGCGAGGTTTGCGCGAGGACACAAAAATGTCAGGTACGCCAACACGGTGGGACATTACAAAAATGCAGAAAGCCGACGCCCGTGAACGCTTGCGGGGAAGGTCTACGGCCGACAGGCCAGAGTGGCCTAACGGCGCCAGAACAGGTAATTCGAGAGAGACACACGCCAGTGAAAGGGAAAGCGCGTGTGCGAATAAACGAAAGATACGGGCCGTTCGCAGTTATCGCCGCGTTATCGCGCGTCTTTATACGTCGATCCGTACGAAATTCCGAATGCAAGTGGAAGTCGTAAACCAGAGTGTATCGCTCAACTTTTCAGTTATTATTTTATTCGACTCGTTATAATTCAATCTTTATTAACAGGAACCACGTCGGACTTACATCTCGACAGAAATTTCCTCGGTAACTTTGTTGTAAAATCTTGCGGATTCTCCATCGATCACCGCTTCGATCGATATTGGTCGTATAGATAATGACGATTATATCATGGAAAACTTGAAGAAATTTTCTCACGAGATACCAGTTGGCTGTGCCGAAAAATGAGATCCACTCGTTTTTTCTTTCTATGTTAGCGGTGCAAAGGCTGTATTTTATAATTAGACACGAGTGCTGAAGCAATCATCGAACGAATGGTTCCTGCATATTATTGTCGCAATGTGCACGAATATTATTATATTTATTGGTAGAGAGGAAACGCGCATTACGGCGAAAATTACGTAAATTACGTTTTTCTTTTTTAACATTAACAGTTTCTTTTGAAACAAAAATTGATAGGCGTAACGACGCGAATCGTTCACCAGACAGCAATACATGATAGGACAGAACACGATATCGAGGCGCTTTTTATCCGGAAAAAGTCTAATATTCATCTTGGACGACTGCCCCGCTTTTGCTCGGTTGATTTCACTCCGAAAGTTTCCTACATATTTTTTTAACTTTCCACACCTACGAGCGCGACATTAGCGCCAGCTGCGAGAGATCCTTTACTACCTTGTCGCTATTGAGCGTGATTGAGATCGATTCGGAAGCATCGATTCGATAGGAAGTAACCGTACAGTCGTCAAGTCACTAAGAACTACAATCACTAATCACTGTAATGCAAGTGACGCGAACACACATCTGACACACCTGTTATTCACAACATAATGCTGACGTACGAGGCCAACCAAGATAGCGTCGTTATCTCTCTCACTTTCTCTCTCTCTCTCTCTCTCTCTCTCTCTCTCTCTCTCTCTCTCTCTCTCTC